TTCTAAAGATTTAAGCGTACACAGGGACAGACAGCGACAGCGACTTTGTTTTATACTATGTACCTAATAATGATGATGATGATGGTGGTGATAAATCTAAAGTAAAGGAACATAAACAAAATAATATTTTCCACCAAATATAGCTTCAATTTCGAGAATATTAATATTCTAATTTGAATATTTCTTAAAAAATATTCACAATTTATTTAAATTTCGAATTGAGAACTTCTATTTTTAAATATGTTTCAAAATTACGTTAAGGCAGCCCTTAGTCTGGGGAGCACGTGCCGCAAGGTGTGGGAGAGGTGAGGATGCGGTCCGCGCGGGGGAAAGGTAACAGCCTCATACCGTAATACCATTCCGAGATGAGCGACTTAAACACGTTAGAGATCACCAACGGAACCTGACCTCCCACACCCCGCTCACACTTCCCCGTCAAAACGATATCGGGAAAACTCAATGAGCACTCAAAGACCAACTATTATTGGACATGTAGACGTTCAATTCTCAAATGTTTTGGTGGTTTTAGCAACTAACTGGAGTGGATTTTGACAATGGACTACTAGTTAATGGGAGTGGATTCCTTCAGTTCGACTGCTGAAATTTAATATTGTCTGTGAGTTGGTCACATTTACGTCGATTGCTCTTATTATGGAGTTGTTCTAACTACAATATGTTTGAATGACACGTGTCTGTGTTATTTTCAACTACCTCAAAAAGGAGATAGCTCTTTATATTTCCACTATATTGCCGTACGTATATACAGATCTAATCTATAGCAATATCGGCCTCGGTTGATGATCAAAAATGTTTTTATTGAATATCATGTTTTTAAGATTTTTACTATTTAATATAATAATTGGATTTTTTAATAATTAACTTGTGTTAAGTATCCCACTATTAATATTATAATTTAAAGAATTTGTTAATTTTAATAATGTCAATATAACTATTCATATCATTCCGTTATATATTAAAAAAAGAAAATAAGTTTGGCACCAAAATGCTGTACAACAAAACATAAAAATACTATATATATATACGTATAGGTAAAACAATATATATTAGAGATAGAAGAAAACTTGTAAACAACTATATATTGTTATATTCATTATTTAAATGTATTATAATACTGTCTAATTGCATATAATTGTTGGCAGCACGGATTTAAAGATAAAAAATAAAGACATCATCTTATTATAGTGCTTTATACATTTCATTGTTTCAAAAGTAGTTGTTTGTAGGGTACCATCATAGGTACCCTACAAACAACCCGTATTTTTTGTAGGGTGTTTTTTATATGCCATGGTTAAAAATCGGACTATATATTTTATTGTTTAGGTACTATTCGTAAGTTTACTTTTCGGTCATTTCCAAAGTCTTAGGTATCACGCAATATTTTAGTATTAAACCTATATGCTGTAACATACCCATTTCTACAAACAATATTATCGATTTTACACCAGATATTTAAAATGCAATTTTATGATTTTAACTTATTAATTAACACAGAATAATTCTATGTGGTTAAAACTAGAGTTTCTTTATATAGATAGAATTCAGTAAATTAGTAGATAGAATTCAGACTCCATTAAGAGTCTTAATTCTATCTATGTAATATTATCTTATCTGTGTCAATATTTAGAAAACTCTAACTAAAAACATATCATAAAAGATGTCGTTGTCCGGAGAACAAACCCTAGTAAAAAGTGAGGCAACATTTATACCAACGAGGTCGTCAAACATATATATACATTATACATCATTCCACCGATTCCAAACTCGCGTTTTTCGTCCATAAAACCTATTCACGTACCGGGGAGCGACAGAGGCGGTTCTAAATTGTAGCTGGTGGCGTGCCCTGGCGGTGGAATTGGGCAATTTTTATTTCGACATAAATAAAACAGGGTCGGTTGCGCGAAGCAATTTGCCTAAAACCGCGTCACGAGTCTCGACTACTCCATGAGTAGGGGATATCAGGATAAATTCGTTTACATTACATGTTGCTACTAGTCTAGTCCATTCACGGAATGTAGTCTTCGCTGAACTTCTTTGCGTAGACAGGAACAAATGTATTTTTTATTAAGGGCTTTGGGTTATTACTTAGTGCTATGATCTGTAGCACTGCGATCTTAAGAGATCTATTGTGCACGACCTTTTATAGAGTTTGTCAGGGACAAGAATTGAAGGATATTCTTACGAGTGATTATTATTAATGTAATGCTGTTACAATCAATTCTTATTTCAAATATATAGAAGTTGACTTTCTCAATGAACTACTGGATAATTGAACATACAAACCTTGATGTACCTAAGACGACCTAAAAGAATAATTTGTCGATTGCAGTTGCCGAACGTGTAACTACATTTATCAATTGCAAATATCAAACGATTCTTACGTAATCGCAAAATAGCAATCTGTTTGAAACGAAAATTGACGGTTAGTGTGTTACATAATCGCTACATTAATTAAATAACATTAGGTAAGTATTTTCTTGTGTTAAAAATTCATAGTCACGTGATTTTTATCAGATTTGAATCTGGTAATATAGTGATAGATATGAACATATTTTTTTACTTTAATTAGTATAGCTAAAAAAGCCGACGACCCAACCGATATAAGTTTACCTACAAGTGACAGCTATGCTTTATATTGCACTACTCATCCATTGCCATTAAATAAGAAATCATGCCTTGTCCTGTAATTTCACTATATAATCATCCTACCATGTTACAAAGCATGTTACAAAGCAACTAACTACTAACTGCCTAGCAGCTGAATTAGGCGTTACCGAGATACTTAAAAAGACGAATTTTTACATTCAATCTTTGTCTGGTAAAGCATTGTAGACGACACATGCAGTATATAGGACGGTTATTATAAAAGATTATCTGTTTTCATATAGGATACAAAATATGTTCTTATTTAATAGTGAAATGAGCTAGTGAAGTAGTCAAGAAATAGATGTGATCGCAAATAATAACTAGTTGTCAATAAAACCTGATTATTTGAAGATAAAAATATATAAATCTGCTAAAGTGAATACTCTAGCGAATTACCTTTCAAATATCTTTCATTTTCTGTATTCGAGAATAAATCCAAAACGTATTTCAGATAAAAAGTTTACGATGTATGCTAAAAGCTCCCGAGTTATTGCTTTCGCCGTTTCGAATAGACCAATCAATTGACTGAACTCAAGTTTAGAAGCTGATAAATATAAGTTTCTAAAAAGTAATAAAAAAAAACAGTTAACTCCTAATTGAACATGCAATTTCGGACAACATTATCAAATGATCATATAAATTAAATCACCTAATATAATACAAATCACATAATATTGAAGTATTTCTGTAATAAAATAATTAAACAAATAATAAATAAATAACCCCTGGATAATTAACATAACGCCATCTAGTTCCACGGTAAACGGAGCTTGTATTATGGATACTAGACAAGTTAGATATTTTTTTCGTAAATACATACATAATATACATAGAAAACAACCAGACACAAACAATCATACTCATGAATACACCGTTTGCACCGTGGGAGAAATCGAACCCGCGACCATCAGAACTAAATCGATACCACCGAGGTCTTCAAATTAAATAAAAACTATGATGTGTAAATAATATTTTATATATTATTACAAAGATTAATAATGTCGAACGTGATGATAATGATATAGGAAAATTAATGAAAAATATATGTATACACACTAATTATTATAAAGAGATATCGTATTTCGTTACGAGGAAAGGAAAATCCGGGATCACTACACCGACTTGAGCAATTCGTACACTGTTTAAAATGTACATTCTTCCGAAGTGACGTAACCTATTGTTAATATATAAAATATAATATAATTATAAATACAAGGTTACTACTATAATATTACAAAGCATATGTTATCTGTAATATAAAGTACAGGAATTAAAGAAGTATTAATTAAATTGTATGATATAAATTGGGATCGGCAAGTATAAAAACTCGTTTATAAAGGGAGTCTATATAGAATTCGTTAAATAGAATATACTAATCCGTAAGGTAATAATACTCATGAAAATGAATACATTTCTCCAATAATAAAGGGTAACATTGAAAGTAAATCTATAAGAAAAGTTCAACATTAATTTTGTTTCATGGTGAAATTAGATCAATTTAGTTAGTTTCAGATTATGTTATCTGCGGTTTCAGTATGATATATAATTTAGCTGTGCCTGTACCTTTTTTATATACAGGCCTGTATTTAAAATCCGACATAAAAACCAAAACAAAAATATGTAGCTATGTACATTCAACAATACAAGCACCGAGAAATTGAGCCTCATATCTTAGCATATGTACCGTACCGTACAGACACCAGTAAAGTTGACAATTTACAAGTGGCAGACGAGATGAAAACCGAAGCACGTCCCACTGCCAGTCTCAATAACGAACAAGCTACATTACCCCTATCCGCCACGCCAAAACATCGTAAACCATATTTTTATAGCGTAAAACATCAAATATACACTCTCATATTAAAGTTTCATGCGGCCGAAATGACTTTTATTACAGAAATTGTGATAAAATAAGTAAGGATAACTTGAGATTTCGTATCAAAATATATATTGTACGTTGGGAAAGAAAAGATTATAGCTTCGGATTTTTAACGGTTATGTAATTTTACGTAAGCTTGATTCAGTTATATTTATATTTATTTGTTGTTATAGTTAGTTTGTAGAAATAATAAATTTGTGAAATATCTAAATATTTTTGTATTCTATCGATAAAAACTACGGCGATGTGTATAACCCGTAACGAGATATGATTTTATATTACTCATAAAAGATTTATGCACATAAAACTTAGACATACAAACTGGAAATAGACATTACATTGACCAAGTTCAAAATATGCTAAATTGATAAAAAAAGTTAAATGTCTAACATTAAATTTGCGAAATTCTGCATTCCAAGAACAAACGACTTGTACGATGTAATAAAAAACGACTTACTTGCACCCTAGCTTCAGTTAGGTTAATCTTGAGCGCCAGATCCTCTCGTGTGAACACGTCTGGGTAATGCGTCTGCGCAAACGCCGTCTCCAACTCCTCCAGCTGTTGAAAACAATTAGTACCATCAACACAACGTGTTAAGACAAGAGCAGATGATAATAATAATTACCCAGAACAATTCACACAACGCCATCTAGTCCTAAATTAAACAGAGCTTGTGTTATGGGTATACTAGATAAATGATAAAAATACTTGAATATATTTATTTTGTAAATACATGATGATGATGATGATGATGATGATGACATAGTATTCGTAAAAACAATTATACTCAAGAATACAAATGTGTGTATCGTGCAAGGAGTTCGATTCCTCGCACGATACAAATATTTATATTCTCCGCGACCATCGTCCGGACTATAGTCATAGTCTACTGTCTAACACATTTAAACCACCCAAGGTTTCGTAGTATATTATTTGATTGAGGGGTGAGATTACAGGATACAGACTAAAAGGTCATGACCTTTTAGTCCTCAAAATGGCAATGCCTGTTATTACGGGTGTCATCGTCCGTAGTGTTCATATAGGCGACGATACCACTTACCATCAGGTGGTCAGACAACTTATTTGTCGTCTAAATACAAGAAAAATACATGTAAAATCACATCATAATAATTCATCATCATTGTTCCATTGATAGAATACTTCTAGTCCTGACAATCACATGTTAATGATGTCTGTAGTGCTGTTCATGTATATAGGCGACGGCTACCACTTAGCAGGTGTATTGTCAGCTGATTTGCTATTCCAATTATATCTTACTCCTGTGTAAGGACTCTCCAATCCACAGAGGGCATATTACTTAGAAATAGAACTGAAGAAAGAAGAAAGAAAATACGTTTATTTGATACACATGAAATAACAAAAATAATTTTTAATTATAACTAGCAGACCCGGCCACGCGGTGATGTGACTAACGGTTTCTTTATATATAAAAATATAATTTGAAATAAAATAATATTGCGACTATAAATTGAGATGTACGCTATCCTACTTTTCAAGTTGGATCAAATTACACACAATGTGCAAATCAAATTTGCAATCGGTTCAGTAATCTAGGACAAACAACGTAACACGTAATTTTATGGTATATATAAAGATTTGGATTATTTTGGTACCAAATAAGTCTCCATATGCATATGGCGTGACGGGGTGCCACGCTGGTATTCTGCGGATACCTTCGTACATAAAAATATATGTATAATAATATATTTATATACATACATAAATCTAGACGCATAACAGTGCAAAAAATTTTACCTGTTGCAGTGTGAACGTTGTCCGGTTACGACGCTGTTTTCGCCGTACGAATGTATCATCGTGTATAGCCGGATGATATGAGTAGCTCGTATCTGACAATAAAAGTACAATAATAATAATTAGTTGTCGCCCGTTGCTCGCAATATAAGCACAATTCATTTAAGTTTTAAGTTTTGACATTATTAAGGTATATAAGGTAGCAAACTTTGAAAAAGTTCGAGCACAATGTAGGTCGCAGTATCAAAAGTCTTAAGCACATGATAATAGCCCAAAAGCCCCAATAAAAAAAATTGTGTAAATGTCAAACATTATATCTACTATTTTGTAATAACAGATCTTTACATATAATAAAATCATGACAAAAAGATATACTAGAATATAGACTTTTACGTAAATTAAAAAAAACATTAACATAAACCAATAAAACTGTCTTTTTATTTATGTTGTTTCCGTATTTGTTATTAAAGAGTGAAGAAATGTTGTACTTAGAGTAAATATAGCAGAGAGAATTGCATTGAAATCTGTTTCGAGAGTACATTAATTGTAGTTTTTTAATGATTGGTTCGATTTTTACACACTCTTGCTTGCAGAATATAATTTTTGATAATGACGTCTGACATCTGTTAATAATCGTTTATTGTTTATCAAACCCTAGAATTAGACAATGACATTACAACGTACAGTTTAAATCTTTTGCAAATAGCTTTTTATCACTCTTATCAGTAACCATACGTATATGTACGTCATGTTTCCTCGCTTTAGAGTTTAGTAATGGGATATTCACTGTGTTGTAAGTACGCAAACATTGCTAGTGTAATTTAATTTAATCACAAAAGAAACAATGCATTCAAAGTTAAAATTAAATCGTTTAGTCATTTGTTATTTCATTAAACGCGTTATTGTAATTAAAATTATCGCTATTGTGATTATATATGTTATGTTTTATGGCGCAGAACAAAATAAACGTATATTGTTGGATACACTCAAATACAAGAACACTAAAGAATATGTATTGCATACAGTAGAAATAAGAAGTATGGAAGAGCAACTGAAAGAGAAAACGAATACAGATACGAAGTATATTCTACAATGGTATCAAGGTAAATCATCTCCATTTTATCTCATAGGCAGAGACAGTTCGGTCTTCTTCAAATACAACTGTCCATATACAAACTGCATAATGACTAATGATCCAGATTATTTATCTGATATAACAACCTTTGATGCAATCCTATTCCACGGTTGTAATATTAACGATCATGCCATAAATTTACCACCAAAAAGATCAACGAGGCAAAAATATGTTTTCGCAGCGACTGAATCTAGCCACTATTACGCCATTAACAACCCTATTTACGACAATTTTTTTAATTGGACCTGGACATACAAGTTGGACTCCGAAGTGTATTGGGGGTATATAACAATTTACGATTTGAATGGTACTGTAATTGGTCCGAAATTAGAAATGCACTGGCCAGAATTAGACCCTGTGGATATGGAAATTAAGCATAATTTAGTTAATAAATCAAAAGCTGCAGCTTGGTTCGTTTCTAACTGTTACTCGAAGAGTCACAGGGAGGTTGAAGTTAGTAAAATTAATGAAGAATTGTCTAAGTACGGCTGGTCGGTTGATGTTTACGGGAAATGTGGCAGATTGAAGTGTCCCAGAAATTCGAATTATTGCTATGAATTAATAAGAAAAACATATTATTTCTATTTTTCGTTTGAGAATTCTTTTGCAGAAGATTATGTCACTGAAAAACTATTGACTGCTTTGAACAATTTTGCTGTACCGGTAGTGTTCGGTACAGCCAATTATACAAGGTAATAATTGTTAAACAAACGTGTAGTTTATTATTATTAAGGTATTTGAAATTTCATAAGTTTACCTGTAACTATGGTTACTGAACCAAACCGTGTACTTAAAAAATATTTGTATAGAATTATTGATATTTTCTCTAAAACTGTACTAGAAAGTAATATTGTTTGAGTGTACATGTATTTACGATAATTAGTACTTACATATTATTTAGTGAAAAATTTCAACATTTACTTGTTTTAGAGGATTTTTTTTATTTGTGTGAGAATTTATTTATTTGTTTTCGAGAGGGCGCCACATGGCGATCTGAGCAACATACGTTCTACATTTATCTTATTATTAAAAATTAAAAATGTGTATTATAGTTACTAAAATAATAAAAGTGAACACCAGATAGTATTAGAAACTAAGATATATTAACAATGTTTATTTATCTTCTGTATTTTATACTAGATTTAGTCATAAAGGAATACGAAGGGTAGGAAAACACTTTCTTGTCGTCTTCACAATTCTTGGTAACTTTACTCTACTTACTACAAAAATCACATATGCATATGCATACTACATTCCGTTTATCCAGAATAGTATAAGGGAGATGCTTAGTGTAAAATGACTTTGAAGCATGAACAATCTTTTAGTGTAACTGAAATAGTAAACAAAGTAACCCACCTGATGGTAAGTGGTAATCGGATGCTACATATACTCACAGTAACACAAATAACACGTCATCATATACAGCCAAAACAGTTTATAAAATTAAAAAAAAATTTTCTTTACAAAATCCGTTCAACCGTTTAAAAGAAAATAAATGACAAACACAAAGATTAACCTCTAAGTTTTAAATATCCAATACTTGAATTACAGGTTTCTACCGTCCGGCACTTATTTAAACGCGAGAGAAATGGGCCCCCAAGAACTGGCCAAAACTATGGACGAAATTATCAAGAATAAGACTCGATATTACGACTTCTTCAGATGGAGAAACCACTTTGTATACAAGGAAACCATCGATACAGTGGACAGCTGTAATATATGCACGGCTTTGAATGACGAGGACAAGTTCAGTAAATACAGTTTATACAAGAACTTTAGAAATTGGTGGAACGAATATGATTAAGAATGGATTACTTTGAGCACCTAAATTTTTAACTACCAAGCTTCGTTACATATTCAGACGATATTCTTATTTCATAAAAGTGCAAAAGTACTCCAACAAGGAAATTGCTGTTGGAAGCAATCTTTTAAAGACTTCGAGATTTGTATCCTTCTTTTCCACAAACAAATAAATCCTATTCTTTTAAATAAGAACTCGTTTCAAGCTCGACTAGATCAAAACGTACAGATTACGGGGGATTATAAATATTTTCATTAATTGAATGTTAATAATTGAACGGCCATCAGAGAAGCATAGAAAAATCCCTAGCAGCGGAAATTAAAAAGTGCTTCGCGTCCGGCCCGAGTGGTGGCTTGAGTGCAGTGGAAAAAGTTGTCCGAAACTGGCACGGATTAACTAGCCATTTAACAAGTATATATTTTATACCTAACTTAAATAATTGTTTATACTGATCTTACAGATATTCCTAATAATACCTGAATTATTCATTCAGGTATTATTAGGAATATCTGTAAGATATATAGCCAAATATCACTTTGAACTTGCAAGCTACTCATACGTATATAATATATGGTAAATTAAAAAACTTAAATAATAATAGCAATAATATACCTTCACAGTTACTATTACAAATGAGATAGTCAGAGGTATTATCATTTATGGTGAACAATTTCGATCGATCGATTCTATTCGCTCAGAATCTTGATTTGTATTCCGTATTTCCATCACCGAAGAGTAAGTTAGAAATATAATTGACACGTTTACAGACTTTTTTAGTATCTACCAGATTGATCTCAACTTTTCGGTCTTTTAGGTTAACTTCTTGTAGTGTTCATGGCATCACGCTACTATCCTTTTAACATATTTAAAAAGATGCTATGAAATATTAGCAATGTGTCAGATGAACTTCCAGGCACACCCGTTGTCTCTTTAAGGTTTTTTTTAAAAATCAATCACATATTAAGTCTTCTGACTACATCAACATCCTATCATCCTTTGCTGGTGCCTCATTAACATATATACAGTTAGTGGAGACGTTTATGTTAGAAATGTGTGCAAAATTATTATATTTATTTCTATATTCAGCAGTCTCAGGTCCATTATTACTTTTAAAACTCATCTATAACTGATGATATATAAAGGAACACACATCAAATGAAATATAATAGATACACTTGCTTGTAACATTTCAACGGATTTCCTAAAAAAGGATAAAATATTCTACTTGGATAGGTATTGGAAAGTATAATATTATTTATTATCTTTTTTTTAATTATTCTTTTTGCGTTGTATTTAGTAGCACCAAGTTGGTTCCAAGTTAATGTTACTATATTTAAAGATTAACAACGACACTCCACGATGACGATTAGCATAAAATAGTAGTATAAATAATAATATAATTTGTTTAGGAGTATGATTGTTTGTATCGGTGTGTGTTTTCTAAAAATAAGTATGTATGTACAAAAAAAGTTGGGAAAAAAAGGTAAAAACCTATGTGTTGGTATTTACATGGGACTAGATGGCGCTGTATGAATTGTTCTGAGATATTATTATTATTTACATATTTTTGTTGTAGCATATTGTAGAATTTGGCAATATCAAATATATGTTTAATTTGACTAGATAATAACTTTATAAATTATGTAATTACATTTACATATATAATGTGCATATATATTTATATATCGTTATGTATATAATACTTTCGGTAGTATATAAGTAGAATCTATAACAGTAAAGCTATATTTAATTTTAATCGTTAATAGGTGTTATGTAAACGCAACCTTATGTCTGGTCCATGGTACCCAGACAAGGCGGTCGGTGTGACTGTGCACTAATGAGTCCACGCTGTACCGCGTTCCGACAGAACGCTGAAAATTGCCTTATGCATTTTTAATAGATTCGTTTAAGCCGCTTTTTATTCACTAGTGGCGCGGACCGACTCGTCGGGCTTTTTAAAACTTCACCCCCCCCCACCTGCCAACCCCCTGACCCCACCGCCGTAAACTCAAACAATTTGTTAATAGATTTTAAAAATTAAAACATTTACACAATTATACAGCGACGGGCGGTCTGTCAGTTTGGGCCCCAAACGAAATAAGGCCGGTCGCTAACGACGTTACGCCCGATCCTTTGACTGTTGTACTTGTAAAAAAAAACAGTTACGCGCTGGGACTAATCAAAAGTGACATGATCCTTATTAAGTTAGCGAATGTAACCGAGTTAAAGCGACCGACGGCGCGACTGAAAAACTATTTTATGAATAATAGATGCCGTCGGCTGCGACCAATCCCCAGGGAGCCCCGCCCACAGGCGCCCCGCGCGCCCCTGACGCCGTCCCCCGCCGGGGGCTCGCGCCCCCGCACCCCTGGCCTGCCTTCTCTATTCATTAGCACATTACCACCCCTTGGGCACGCGAGTCGGGATAGCGAGAAAGAAACTGATTTCTTACTTTTGAAGCTATTATGGGGTTCTCGTGGACACTGTGACGAGTTAGGTTAATCGATTTTAGGTTTTTAAAAGGTAGACTAGTCACTGAAATACCAGTACTAGGTTTCTAACCTCCATTTATTGCCTGATGATGACACGTTTAGAGCCGATACAGGTATCGCAATATGAGTGTAAATTCCATAACGGTCGGAATTTGATCACTAATAAGGAAGGTCGTAACGCTTCCAGTAGTGGTGATCAGGTTTGCGCACTGAATATTGGTGGGCTCACACATAAGTAGTACCTAATGGTAGCGGAATTAAATAAAAGAATATAAATCCATTAGTTTAGATAACTATAGTTTGTACATCATTGTTAGTACATCCGAACTTCGCCGGTTTGGTAGAATATACCTATATAAAATATTATAATAATAATATAGATATAGAAGAAATCGCTCTTTAGCGTTAAGGCTGCCAATTGTTATGCATATTGTAATTAATTTTTTTTTATATTTTTAATGTACATATTAATTTACGTAATTGTTATTTCTTTCTGTAAGAGGAACATTAAAGAGTTTTTCATTCATTCATTCAAAATATAATAAAATATGAAATTCCAGGAGTGTTGCTTAAGGAAAGTACAAATCTTTTCTTGAAGAAACCATTTCAATATCACATAGGTGTACCTTAGCAATACGTATTAGGTACTAATTTTATTAGCTTATTTATGCAGCCACTTAGCTCTGTAATTAATTTCCACGAATTTATGATCTTTAATGAACATAATTTATGTGTATACCTAACTACTTACTTACACGTAAGTAAGTACGAAAATGTCACTTTAATATTCCCTTATTATATTACATAGGTACAGATACCAGAATTATCAAGTACCTACTATTTAATTGCCTATATAAAATTATATACTATTTTAAATATTTAATTATTCTCAATAACGTCAATCGACTAACAAACTTATTTTAACTATTGCTAGTAACTTTAGCTTACAGTTAGTAACTTTGATATTTACAAAACGTATGAATATAGTTTGTATGTAATGGTGTTAAAAATTAATTTCAAATTGGGAAAATATTTAAATAAATGAATATGTACCTAGAAACAATATAAATAGAATGTATCGTACTAAAATAAATACCGAAGTTGTGTAACAAAATTTAAAAACCCGCCCGCACAGATTCCTTTCATCGATTTATAATTGAAATCGAATCGAGTTTGCGTTCAAAATCGAGTTGCCAGTCGAAACAAGACAAGAGCTTTAACTGGCAATAATGGCATTAGAGTGGAGTCGTGGCTTATAAACTCGGTTAGCGAAGTTTGCCGACCAATAAGCGAACTTAATCGACGGCTCCTCTGTAACGTAAGTATGGTTACATCATTCGAATCGAAACGAAACTCCAAATTTAGGATCGAGTATCTGCTTACCATTAAGCGAATGTCAAGGGATGTGATATGATTAATTGTTCATAATGGATTATTAGTAAACTGGATCAATTAGGGAATGAGTACATGTAAAATTATCTAAGTGTATACCAATTGGTATTTATGAAGTTCATACGCCTAATGTAAATACTTACTTAATTCCTCTAGTAACAAAACAACAGTAAATGGTTTATAATTAAAAAAAAAATATTTTGAGTTTAAGAATAAAGTTAATAATTTTATTTTTTATTTCATTTTTTTATTTATAACACTTTATTGCACCAACATATAATGAAGAAATTAAAAACATAGAAAATAAAATTAAGTACAAAAGGCGGTCTTATCGCTAATGCAATCTAGCGATAAGACCGAATTATTAGATTACGGACAAAATATTAAATTATGTTTATTTTTTCAAATTAACATTGTTAGCCACTGTTATCTTCACTGTTCCTCATTTTAATTGTACTATACACATAAAATGAAGTCACTTCCGTTGTGTGTTCGGTTAGATCTTTTCAACTACGCAACGGATTTTAATGCAGTTTTTAGCAATAGATAGAGTGATTCAAAACAAGGTTTTAAGTATAATACATGTATACCCGTTCGAAGCCGGGACGGGTACCTAGTAATATATAATTAAACTTTGAGAAAATATCCAATACTAATGGGACTGGGAAAAGAGGATTGGATTGAATATTGTCAGTTTTTTTTACACTACTATGATGGCAAACAAACATACGGCCCATCTGATAGTATATGGTTACCATATGGTAGGGACGCCTGAAACACCAGGGGTGTTACGTGCGCCATTACCAACACTTAAGAAACCTTAATGTACCCTTCTTGTAAAACCCCATGCTGTAGTCTCGTGAGAAAACCTAGTTAGGTAGGTAGTTCATTCTAAAATCTAAGTGTACGCGGGAGGAAGCTCCCTTGAAACCGCACTGTCGGAGACCACTTAGGTTCTAGCGTGTGGGGATGAATTCCCTGTCGATAGCGAGTGGTGAGATGGCAAAAGGTAACTGTAGGCATCATGTCGATACGTCATCAATAACTGGAGATTGCAGAAATTTGATACTCACACGGGTGTGAGGCTGTGAAGGGGTACTCCAGCGTGGGTAGTCTGTGCTGATGGGGCGGCAGGCTCGGCGGACAGTGGTAGCAGAACAAACCACGACCACCGCCGCCACCGCTCGCCAACTGCAAACAAGAGTACAGCGTAAGTAAACGCCCTATGCATAATAAAAATCTTCAGATTTTGTCAAACAGAAACAGAAAACGCTATATCTAGAGTCGCATAGTCTATATCTAGATACAAATTTGATCTCTTTTTTACCACCAAACTACACGACGAACACTGAACTGAACACTAACGGACTTCATCCGTACGTCGTGGAAATTCCGCACATTCGCATTGAGCGGTTCGCATCGTCCTTTCTAATACGCACTGCCAAATAGTGGAATACACTTCCAGCTTTTATGTTCCCGGAGAAATACAACCCCGGATTCATCAAGTCTATGGTGAACAGATTTCTTCTGGATAAGTGTGCTACATCCTAGGTCTTCCCATCATTTACCATCAGATGAGGTAAGACCAAGAGGCAATCCCATTATTAATAAAAAAAAATGTAATATTATAATAATGTATTGCATTTTAAAAGAAGTTAGTTAATAAAAATTAATATCGGCAATAAGCGTATTGATGAGAGTAGAGTAGAGTGCTGAGTGTAGCGATTGTTCATTTGACAATCTAGTGACAAACAAATAGAATATTTTTTTTTTAATTTTTCACCAATATTTATATTTTACATTGTTCCCTGGTAAATTGTAACCTAAACTACGTGTATTTTAGCTACCTGTTTCAGGATAGAATATTCTGTGTTCAAATTAACCTAAATTTAAGCAATTAGAAATGGCAACTATGACAAACTATGTCATCACAGGAAGAACGAGCAAGAATCGTACGTACACTGTTAAACAAATAACAATGACGACTTAAAGAGATTAAGCACAATTAGGCATGTAGCGTAACATATTTAAAAAAAAAGATACGATAAATTTCTGCTAGAATCCGCCGACATCAAAAAGTGCTCAGTTTCTCGATTCTTATTTATAATGATTCAGATTACCTTTCTATAATGACATAGCTATTATTAATTTCATCCGGCATCATGGCACCATAAGAAAGAACAATAAAATCCAGTCTCTATCTGACTTATCATTACGATATCGATCTAATACTATGTCGAATTAACATATAAACGACACCGCTTTTAATAATAAGGCGCTTTCGAGCGGGGTCCTTGAGGTGCGCGCGCGCAATCTGCGCAAACGATAGACACAAGGCACGATCCGGCGCTCGATCTAATTGCAAAGTATGATCTCCTAAACACGGTTATTTTATAAAGCTAGGCCTTTGATTGAATATTAATAGAGAATTGTGTCAGTATGTACGTATTGTTTAAGTATGCACGTATAGGAATCTATTAGATAGTTAAATATAGTATGCTATGTAGAGTCCTGCAATTAAATAACCGTTGTGTACAAATAAAATGCTTTGCTCTTAACATATAATATAGCAGTAGTTTGTGTATTAATTTTATTGATATCTAAATTATTTGTTAAAGCTTAGGCATATTTTTGAGTGCTTTAATTGTTATGTTTATTTTTGGCATTATGCCTAATTTAGTAACTAATAGTGCAAGAATAATAACAATATCTTACTTAGAATCAAATTTATAGAGCAATGGTTATTTATAAAATAGGTATTATGTATTTTCTTATTTATTAAAAAAACCTTATGTAATAAATAAAGATTCATTTCTCTTTTACCTATTCCATATGGACCTGACGTGAAAATTTATGTACGTACGTATGAAGCACACAAGGTAGATAACTATAACTACCGTGTACACTTTCCCTAGAGGATGCTGAAGCCTAATGCAAAGACATTATAAGTAAGCAAGGCACACAATAAACATAAATCAATTAATAATAGTAAATTGCGCAATACTCACGTTCTGCGAGTGGTTTTATGCTACGAGCAATATTAACTAACTCATCTTCAAGTTAGTGTGTCCTACACTTTGTTGTTAGTATTGATCTGGGTAATTTAAATCGCGTGGAGCCACCTTAAAGATCAGATTTGCACTCTTTGTAACGATACTCCTCCGAAACGGCTTGACCGACCGAGACGAGAAAATTTCATCGAAGGTCAACTTACGGGCCTTCTTTGTTTTATCGCTTAAAAAGCAATACTCAATAATAATAAACGTGCCCCGCTGAATGTGTGTCTAGGACACGCTCGTTTATTATTTTTGTGTAAACAATGCACACTGTTATATACTTAGGAACTCCGCGTATATATTATAACAGTAAGTAATTACTCTTATTTAATGCCTCTTATTCTATAATTTCACTGCCTTTTTCATCCTAAAACCGAAACACAACTAACAAAGCAAACTGCATGTCGGCTAATATAAGTGGGACTGAGGTACCCACGCACACGATTATATATCGTCTACTTCGAACAAAATAGTTAGATATTATGAAGTAAACCTTTAAGTCTTTTAATAATATATAAATTTATGACGACTTCATCGGAATTAACAATATTTGCGAAAGGAACATGACAATGAAATTCAATTGCACGTATTAGTAGAGACCCACGTGTACGGGACAAGCCGTTTGTATAAATGACATTAATAGAACAATGAATCGACAAAACGATGCGCGGGCGCATTCGATACCGACTGTGACGTCAGCACAGTGTGGGCCCTAAGGATACTTATGGACAAAACATAAAAATTTTGACACATTTCAAAATTAAAAAGATCACGTTACTGAGTTGAGGAGTGATTTTGAACAACATATAAAGTAAAAATCAAAAATGTAAAAACATATAAAAATTAAGATACTGTTACTATGAGTAATTTACATATTACTGGAACATTAAGTAATAGGACTGTAAACCTGATATATATATTACCTTTTATACTAGACCTCAACTTGCAAAGTTTGCTGATATCACCAAAATTGTGTAGGTAATACATAAGCTAATCTGGTAATATTGTGAGTTACATTGAAAAAAAGATATTTAATATTAGGTAATAAAGAAAGAGAAATTTATAAGGAAAGTGAACTTCAGAACTGATGCACTGATTTGAACTTTTTTTCGTGGCTTAAAATGTTTCAAACTAGTAGTTCTTTTTTTCGAGGTCGGGGCATTACATACATACATAATAGAAGTATTTTATATAGTTTTTCAAAGAACAATAGTAATTAGATTAATTTAAAAAAAAAACAATAATTACAAAGAGAATAAATAAAGTTTATTACTAATAAAAATGTTATAATAATGGAAACAAAATTTTTATATCCAATAGATATCTATATAATACCACTAATTTGTTATAATTAACTATTAAACACCAAGTCCAGAGCAGTAGTGTGTCTAAACTAGGCCAAGCCTATATTTCAGACACCAGTGTCTGGTTGAAGATAACATCATATATAAAAAGTCAAGCAGATCATAAAAAATTAACGTAATGAATGACAAAAAAGACCTGTGTTACCTGACATGCGTCACATCTCATCATCATCACATTTCGTCATCTTTATATGATCGGATCGACAATATACTTAGATATCTGGAAAACATTGGAAAATGTTATATATATATTAATACAATTTGTATTATTCTAAAGGAGGACTAACTAAAGTTGAGGTGTTATGGCCACACAATGAGAGAGAAGAGCGTCATATATCCTAAAAAGTCGATCCTCAACACCTGCTCGAAAAGACGAGAAAAACCTGTTGGCAGTCCGTTTAATAACGACCTATATAAAACTGAAATAAACGAATCGACGACCTATGACAGATGTAGGTACCTGGCGAAGAAGGACTAGGAGAGCCGACCCCAAATGAAATAGGTAAAGGATAGGCAGTGGAATTTTTTGTATTAGTCTGTATTGTTGTACTCAGTAATTATTTTTTTCGGACTACTCTAATGCTGTATGTTGCAGCTGCCTTTATAGCTTCACCGGACGATAAGGAGCGAGTGCAGGTGGCACTCCAAATGCGCGTTCCCAAGGACTTGTGGAACGTCTGAAGACCAACTCCTGTAATGCTCTGTAATGTACACATTGTGTACTAGTATGTAATATTATCTTATCTGTGGTACTAGACAGTATTATAAATCTATGTGTTTGTAAATTTATTTTCAGTCCTTGCAGAATCGTGACCACTGTGAGTTACGAGTGTATTGGCGCGTCCTGTCTACGCGCGTGGGGTCCCGAACCGACTAATCCTATTTATATTATTGTGTCATTACCACATTACAACACCCACTGGTGCCGCATCCGCGCTGCACCGACGCAACCTTGACGTTGGAGTTGTTTTCATTGCACCTAATAATTTTTTGAATACCTACTGAATATGACATTTTTTTATATAATCTATACATTTAAATAAATTTGGAGTGTCTGTTTGTAATATTGAAATATCTTTTTAATAATTAACCTTTTTTTACTATATACATATGAATATAATTAAGGTACATACACCAAAATAAAATTTTTTGTGTAAATTGTCCAGATATTATTCTTATCATGCCTGAGTATCTTGTAAATTCAGATTTATCATTCAGACTTTATTTACATATATCTACACAAATAAATAAAGGTACTTTTGGTAATACGTTTGTAGTAACGTTATAGTTTTCTTTGAATATCCATAAAACGGGAATATATCTATACTGAAATTTAAAAGAAATCTGTCTAGAATTGAGTGGTAGATTAACTATCCTCAAAATAAATTCACAAATAACACTGCATAACCCAAAAATAACATACTCACTTTCAAAATTTATTTCAATAAAATCTTTAAATACAAAAATAGCATTACAGTTGAATTTACAAGCAAAAATATCAAACTCCAACTCCAATCGTCGTATTTGCTGAGTAAACATCGAAATAGCTCAATAACGTAAGCAAACACAATTTGCCCCGAAATTATATTTGTATCGCTTAATTTTGAGCTGACTGCGATTAATCAATTCGATTAATCGAGCAATTAAATAGGTATCGCTTTAATGACGTAAAATATCATTCATATTTAATGCTACCTACTTACCTACGTAGCGATGAATTAATTTATGGCAGATGTGATGTTGATATTCGCAAATTTTGTTATTTTGAGGC